ACGTGTGCCACAGAGAATATTAAGACGAATTCAAACTGGGCTTAACAGAATTCTTAAAATCCAAAATTTATTTGTATATCAAACTATACGCGTAGCACAAAGAATCTTAAGATGAATTCAAACTAGGCTTAACGGAAGAGAAGTGAAGTAGTTAATACAGTTCACAGAGATTTAAAAAATTAAAATATAATTATTTTTATTACTCAGCTAAAAACATGCATACATATTTCAAGGACGAATTTTTGTTTCTGTTGATGAATAATAACGTTAAAAATAACAATTAACTTTCGTCAGCTTATTCCAGAGTGTTAACAAATTGCGTTTCTCGAAATTTTGACACTCAAAACGCGCCAACATTGGTAATTTCGGGAGAGAAAATAATTCTCGTATGGTGTAAAAGCATAAGATTCTGGTTAAAGATTATTCCATTTTTAAATGTTTAGTTTTAAATTATACCCTTTAAATTGTTTATAAATGATCGAATGGATGTTAGTATGGAATGAAATGTTCCCCCTTTCATTTTTTTGGGTTGTTCAATATGATAATCAGAGAGGTATTGCATCATAGTTTTTGCAGTGAATGGAATAAGAAAAACGTGGCAAAATATTACAAATAGGAGTCTTATTTTATCTAATATAAAATCATCTAATTTCTATAAAAATTTCTATAATAGCTTATTTTGAATACAGATCAGATCATGTATAATAATACATACATAAATATACAAGCTTTTATTGATTAAATTGATATGCTTAAGAAGCAAGTTATTTTTTCAAAACAATCACTTGTTTTTCTCTAATACAATGAAGCATTTTCCCCCTAATTCTCTTCGATTCTTGGGATAGCACAAATGTCCAATTTTCCACTCAAAAGAAACTCATAATTTACAATTTCAGAACCTTCAGGGTAGGTCAGTTTAAAATTCTGGATGATTGTAGTGAGAAAAAGAAAGATCTGAGACATCGTATAACCTTCTCCAATACACGTTCGCTTGCCTAAGAAACAAGAGCATGTTTAAATTAGACAAAACATGAATTTCTGAACGTCTATCATATTAATTTAAAGTAAAAATCAATTAAAATGTGAATAATTTATTCGTTGTTTTTTCTACATTAATTGAAGAGAGTGTACACCGAGAATTCATAACGTTGGTTAAGTAGAACGAACGCTTTCCACCGACTGCAGGGCGACTAAATATAAAAAATGGCGATTAAAAAATTCTCACCTACCGATCACTGAATTTTTCGTAGAAACTGCATCCCATGGGCATTGTATTATTAGTTTTTTTAAAATATAAATACGAATTTATTATCAACGTTTCACAATATTCCGAAAATTTCTTTATTCTGAAAAGTTTTCTTCATAATAGAAATGAACCCTATGATGTTTACCACATTTTAAGAACTACTTCAAGGAAAATTTCCAACTATCCCTCTTTTTAAATCTTTCAAATTTTTTATTTGAAAAATGGTTTCAGTAGCGAAATTAAGTAGTAGCAAAATTTCCTGATTTTTTTCTGTAGAATGTATCACTAGCTGCAGACAGGACAGAAAGCCAAGAAAGCTCACCTTCGCAGCCTTGTCATTTTGAACCCGACCCAGAGGAAGAGAGAACTCCTGAATCATACATCAGGAAAAATGAGCCTTCATGGAGGACTTTTTGACGTAACTAACCTGCGTTTGTGTTACATGGAGGGAAAACCACGAAAACTTCCATGGTTAGGGCAGAAGAAATCTAACCCATCAAGGAACTCTAACCCCTTTCTCAAAATAGGAATTTGCACATCAACATATTTTTTTGAATCATTCACTCCCTGCTGACCCATTCATATTTTTAAATGATCCTAAATAGTCATGCAATGTTTTTCCTTTATCTTATGGTGCATATTGATAATACGCTGCCCCCCTTCCCCATTAAGATGTTCTTTAAAAGGTGAACAAACTTCTTCAACAAGGAATGTGGAGAAACATGTTTCGACAAGGTCGCCTTAAGAGGAAGCTATACCGCCGACGAAGTCAAATTCTGTTTCACCAATATAAATAGTATAAATTTAATGTTCGGAGAAAAGGGAGTTCAGAAAACAACAAAGTATCTAATGCTATGCTGAAAATAATTCCAAAATAGAAACAAATTATGATAGGATTACCTAAACTGTCAATGAAGTTGAAACAGAATTTTCCATGAAAAGTTTCTTACTGGGTATAGAGTCGTTTTAAATACCAACAAAGATGTGATGAATCGATGAGAATCCTTGGGATTATGACTTATTCTTAAGAGATGACTTCAAAGCATTCGTTACAGATCAGACTTTAGACCGATTTTATAAACTATCAACTGAGCAGTCTCTACTGAAAGCTGTAATACGAGCTGACAATGGATTGTATATAATACTGATGACAGTAAAATTCGTCTCTTTGGTATCAAAATGAATCTCGTGCATTGAATGAGAGCACTTACCAACACCAAAATTGATGGGAAGATCGGGTCTCTTGCTCTTGTCTTCACAGATGAATCGGTACGGATTGAACTTCTCGGGTTCTGGGTAGATCTCTGGATCATTATGGCAGGTCCACATGTTCACAAGAGTTATTGCACCTCTGGGAATCCTGTATCCTCTGATGACAGTCTCCTCTGAAAACAGAAGGCTTTAAAATCAACACGATTGTGAAAATGGTGCAATAAATACATCATAAAAACTATGTCCCAAGTCATTAGTGCTCACAACATTATGACGAAATCTGACACTCATTTTGGAACTGACCATTTTTTACTGCCAGGTATCGGTAAAATGTGTTCCAGACGAAACGTAAAAATAAATTATACGTAAAGCTATACAAATTACAGGTCTGCCTTAAATGATTTCTCATACAGGCTAATGACTATAAATTGACGTAATGCTCGTAAAAATTATGAGTTCGGGACTTGATGTTGTTTGATACTCATGTAATTTGTTTGTCGAAACGAGGAAAACAGTGGAGTGAGACAAAATAGTGCAGTGTTGCCATCTGTCGAAGAGTATGAGAGTTGCTTGCTCGTTATCCGTGGTCACAAAATGGTACAACGAGATAGATGTTATTTGGCAACGGCTGGGTTCGAACCCGGGACTTTTATGTCAGAGACTAATGCTGCAAATACATTGGAAAAGAATGCACACTTTCGAATTAAATTAAAAAGCTGCGCATAACAACCGTATAATTTATAGGTCAACTCTATTGAAGTTCATTGCAATCAAAGTCAGAGTTTTTTTTTCTTCTTTTGTCAAGGATGGAAGCTGGTAGTTTAATACAACTCTACTAATTTTGCTTAAGTTCTTTACAATCGAGGGTACTGGAATTTTCCTGTCCGAAAAATAGAAGCTTGTCTTATACACTAACGGTCAACTCATCAAATTGTACGGATATTTCGTAGAGTGTAGGCACTTTTTTCACAAAAGAAAAAAATTGTATCCATAAAATTATATATCATATTGTTATAAAACAATCCCTTCAGTAATGGGACTTAAATTTAGCTTTGCTGCATAATTTCGTACAAAATTAAATAGGTTCACCGTCCATTTGAAATATGAGCTCTGAATTTCTTAATTCGATATCTGTGACTATACATTGATAACACAGCATGATAAAATCACGCATAGAACTACTACAATTAGAATTCACTTCTTAATAACAAATATAAACTAAGTAAAATTTTGTTGTTTGAATTTTTGATGAGGAATGACTGCGAAAGTGTTGCAAGTTTACAATATGTAGTAGCATAATATCAAAATTTTAGGAAGGTATAAAAGAGTTAAATAATGCTCTTTTAACCCTCTGATTCCGATCGAGTCCTA